TCAGGTGGAGGTCCTGTACACAGGTTAGAAACCTGCGTGAACGGTGGGACTTCGCCGTCTGCATCTCCCAGCAGATGTCTGGGTAGTTTAGGTCCCCCATAACTATCGCCTCTTTAGCTTTTATGGTCTCTGAGAGCTGCCTCAGGAGCCCTGAATCTATTTCTTCCCCTTGGTGTGGGGGTCTGTAGCAGACCCCTACCACCAAATCCCTTTCTCCTTGCCCCCCATGTAGCCTAACCCACAATCCTTCTACTTCCTTATCCTTCAATTCTGTCTTGATGAGGGTTGATGTATATTATTATGTGACTGAAAAAAAAATATAGATCAGGTCACAACAGGATCCAGAAATAGGACAAGAAGGAAGATGCCTGGGGATGCCTGAGTTCTCTAAATCCAATCTAATCCATTTAAACTTCTTTAATCTTTAATATCCCTTTCAAGAAGTAACCAGAACCTTCTAGGCAAGGTCTGGCCTTTGCTATGCAGTTGTACTGTACTTGGTATGTCAATGAAAACTAAGGCCCTGCACTACATAATAAAAAGAATTCCTAATTAGAGCATAGATTTTCCATAGGATTTGCTAGTACATGGTTGGTTATTTTCTTCAGGCTTCTTCTTAAAACACTACAAATCTGGGGACTGGTGCTTTGTGGGGTTTACTTATTTTTGCTACACAGTTAGATTATATTTGTACAATGTTAAAAAACAAAAGCAAATGTGGGTGAGTTTTTCAAAACTATTTTTCTTAAGTCCTTACATAGGCCACATGGCATCTGAGCACCTTAACATCATTAACAGGAGGTGAGGTAGTGCTGTTATCCCTATTATACAGATGGGATCTGAGGCCCAGGAAGACTAAGCACCAAACGTTTAAAGGTATTTCAATTATGCAAATTATTTCAACAGATTGAGGTACCTAAGTGCTTTTGAGAAGATGCACTTACCTGCGTCTCTAGGAACATAAAAACCTGTAAAATTCTGTCCTTAAGTGACCAGCCCAAGATCACAGAGGAAATCTGTGGCAGAGAAGGGAATAGTCTACCATCACTCAGTCAGGCCCTAACCACAGAACCATCCTTCCACTTGGAAAGGTGCCAGAGTACCATAAAGTTCGCATCTCACTGAGGTTCAATGGGGCATGCATGCCTAAGTCACTTAGGCTCTTTTGCAGGCCCCATTTTATAAATCCCAGTCTAACTCTCGCAGAAGTCACCACAAAGGCCACAAAGATATACTAAGTGTCATCTTCACAACTTTGAGTAGAGATGGGGCCAGATTCACTGACAGGCTCTCACTCTAAGCCCTTAGCTCCTAGAGCTAAGGGCTTAGAGTTTAGGGCTTAGAGCTAAGCCCTTAGCTCTTAGAGCTAAGGGCTTAGAGCTAGCCCTTAGCTCTAAGCTCTTCACTTACCACATACTGGTAAGTGAAGGGGGAATGGCAGCTAGGTGGTGCTGCTGGAATGGCACTGGAGAACTTGGCCCATATTTTTGATGATTTGATTTCCATAATACTATTGAAAATGCCTCCTCCCCCCAGCACCCAAGACTAAAAGCCTCTGCATAGTGACAGAATAAATTTAGCCAGGCTAGGTCACAGCAGGGCCCATTCCCCTGCATAGCCAAATGCCTCTACCAATGCTCAGCAGGGACATGGTAGTTTAGTTTCCTTGGTTACTTGATCTCTCGGCCTGTCGTTCAGTGATGAGGACACATGTCCACCAGTACCACTTTATTGCTGAAAACCTCATCCCAGGGTGAATCAGTCCCTAGAGACTGAAGATCGTGTCCCTTGGAACTGGCCTCTAGAGCAACGATTTTCCATGCAGAAAAGCCACTGAAGAAGCCATAAAGAATGAGTATTTCAAAAAGAGGCCTCCTCAGCACAGACATCACCTGGCACTGGGGTAGAATGATGGCAGGCTTGAAAGGGAATAAGCCTGGTGACTATGGGCTGGAGAGAAGTTAAACCAGCCTCAGCTGGCTACTCCATGAAACAGTGAGATAGCAGAAGGACTCTCATGGAGAAACCTACAATTCAGGACAAGTCAGGGATTCTACAACATTCAGCTCCCAGAGCACTGTGGTGCCTTCCTGCTTGAACCTGTGTGCCACTGATGACACAGTCCTTCAGTGTGTCTATTCAAAGAGGACTTGAAATACCTTGTTCAGAATTGCCACACCTTCATTACTTATCCCTTGAGAGCTATAGTAACAATGGAGCTGATTCTGCATTAGGAAGTAGATAGCTACCCAAAAGACCAAAGATTTAACAGGCCAGGGGACTAAAGTGCCCTCTTGCCCCTACAGGTGGTGTCTCCAGTAAGGGGTACAGTACTTGGGGCAGGTAAGCAGAGATTTGCACCGCACCTATCATTCTATTTTCTGAATGCACAACTGCAGCAGTGTGAATTCCTCTTTCATATTATTATGTATTTCTCTTGATGAAAAATATTAACAATATTAACTATCTGCATGTTCTTGGTAGTTGTGATGCAGCTTAACAGTGTATCAAGGTAGCAATTTCATATCACCCATCCCAAGATCTGCCTCCTCTTGAGCAGTTCCTCATCTTGACAATTATACTCCTTCATCCATAGCCCCTCCCACAACATGTCTTGTCAGGGGGTTGGAGATGGGCTTTGCAATCCTCCACGAACATCATCAAATATGAGATATTTTGGAGCAAGGTCTGGAAATTTTTAAAGACAGGGACAGACAGCTCCCACTGTAAATTGACATGAAGGAAGCAATGCCATCTGGTTACAGGAAAGCAAAAAAAAATTTTTTTCAGAATACCATAACAGGTGGAACATGACATTGCCCTACATTAATTTTTGTTCATTTTTGGAGACTTAACTGGTTGTATTTGACCTCTGTTACATGCTGGCTAATAGTCTAAGAACAGATTGTTATTTCTACTCTTTTGTTCACTGCCTAGAATAATTCATCTTTTTTTTTTATTATATGCTTTTTACAGAAAGCTTATTTCAGATTTTTCCCCCTGCAAGGACAGAGAAATAGCATCTGGAGAGCTTTCCCTCTACACACAACACAGCTGTAGTACGGCA